CTGTAGTCCCAGCTACTTGGGAGGCTGAGGCAGGAGACTCGCTTGAGCCCAGGAGTTGGAGGTTGCTGTGAGCTGAGATGCCACGGCACTCTACCCAGGGAGATAGCTTGAGGCTCCGTCTCAAAAAAAAAAAACAGATCATAACTGTACATACAGCTTCATATAACTACCACCCAAGTCAAGTACTAGAACATTTTCAAAACCTAGAAGCCCCCTTCACACCTGCACCTCATCACTATTCCTTTCCTCCCTCCTTCCTGAATATTATTAGCACCATGTATAATTTTTCCTGTTTTGAATTTTATATAAATGGAAACAGAGAGTATTCTTTGCTGTTTGACTTTTTACTCAATAGGTAATTCATTTTCCTTGCTGTATACTATTTCATTTTTTTCTATTTCACTATTTCTTTTTTTCCTATCTTGTACTTTAAGTCTTGAAATCTAGTAGAAGAAGTCATTCCACTTTCTCATTCTGCTTCAAAATTGCCTTGGATCTTGGCCCTTTGCGTTTTCATTACTTTTTCCACATGTCAATTTCTACCAAACAAACAAAAACTTGCTAAGATATTGATTGGGAGTACCTTTAATCTACTGATGATTATTTTGGTTAGAATTGACATTTTTAAATTTTTAATTTTTTTTTAGAGACAGAGTCTCACTTTGTCACCCTCGGTAGAGTGCTGTGGTGTCACAGCTCACAGCAACCTCCAGCTGTTGGGCTTAAGTGATTCTCTTGCCTCAGCCTCCCAAGTAGCTGGGACTACAGGCACCTGCCACAATGCCCGGCTATTTTTTTGTGGCAGTTTGGCCAGGGCCAGGTTCAAACCCGCCACCCTCGGTATATGGGGCCAGTGCCCTACCCACTGAACCACAGGCACTGCCTGGTTTGGGGTTTTTTTAAAGTAAAAACAAGGTTCCTCTCTCTGTTCTCACTCTTCCAATCTCCATCCCATAAGTGTCTGTTGTTACTTTCTTACTATATGTGCAAATACAGGTAATATATAGAACTTTTGGAGTGTTCTGTATATGGGGTCTCTGCATTATGTGCTTTTTAAAAAACATCATCTTTTGGCTCGGCGCCTGTGGCTCAAGTAGCTAAGGTGCCAGCCATATACACCTAAGGTGGTGGGTTCAAATCCAGCCCGGGCCCGCCAAAACAACGATGGCTGCAACCAAAAAATAGCCAGGTATTGTGGCAGG